TGGAGACACACACTTCAGTGTGGGCTCCAGAGACAGAGGGAGCCCCAGGTCAAGAGCTGCGGGTGCTGGGCCAGGTGGGCGTCGGCCAGCGTTGCCCCCACTCATGGCGGGTCCACCTTAATTCGACGGGTGTGACACTCTCCTCACACACGTGCACGTTCAAGAGGTAGTAACTGTCTGTTTCTGTAACTGGGTGCATTTCGATCTGGAGCCATCGAGCCGGGGGTGGCCATGAATCCCAGGCAACTCGGGGGGCCCACTCCAGGGTTGCCTTTTGGGGGCCTTGGGGTGGCTAATGCAGTCCCACGTGCTGTTAAGGACCTTGAGATGGGAGATTATCCCGAATGGTCGGGGTGGGCAGTGTAATCATAGCCCCTGTAAGAGAGGTTGGGAGGGTCAGAGTCAGAGGAGGAGAGGGCACGATGGAAGGGAGAGAGAGGCTGGGAGATGCTGTGCTGCCAAGGAGGGCAGGAGCCTCTGGAAACCACAAAAGGCAAAGGAAACGAACTCCTCTGAGGCAGAGACCCAGGGCTGCCCCGCACCGTCGCGCAGACCGTGCACTGCCCTGCGCCTAGGGAGACCCGGGGCCGCCCCGCACCATTGTGCAGACCGTGCACTGCCCTGCTCCTGGAGCTCATTCACACAGGTGACTCTGGCTGTGGGATCCCTGGGGCTGGGCTATCTGCCGCCCTGGGGGATGCTGCACCCTGCTTTCTGTCCCGTCTACTCCAGCTTTTCACACTCTCTGGTGCCCTTGTCCTTGGGCATCTCAGGAACTGGAAGGAATTGGGTCTTGAGACACAGCTGAACCTGTGAGTGCTGACCTGAGCAAAGGAGACGCCGGAATGAGACGTCTCCACACACAGAGAGCTGCAGCCGACGCCGGCCGGCGACTTGGGACTTGAATGCTTAACGGGAGGCTCCCCCTCCCTTGCGAGGGTAGGACGGGGTTGGGGGCACATGTCCCAGGGGCTGGCTGCACTTGCTCCTCAGCCCCAGCAGGTGCATCTCCCCCCACGAGGCCCTGGTTGCCGTCATTCTTCTAGAAGGCTGCACTGAAGGGACCCTCTGATCCTCATGCCAGCTGCTCCACTCTTAAGACAGAGACAGGAGCTCCTGGGCTCATGCACCTCCCTCTGCAGGTGTCCAGGAGAATGGGCACTCGGGGGTCACAGTGTGGGCTTGTGGCCCATGGGGTGGGACTCGAGCCTGCTCTGCCTTGGGTTCTGAGCCCAGAAGCAACACCTCCCTCATGCGGGTCCTCACGAGGACCAAGTGGAAGACTGGCAGGGGGCGGGGCCTCAGAACTCCACCCACATTTGCACACTCAGCCTTCCCACGCCCAGCCACAGCTTCCGTCCCTCATCATCGTCCTGTCGTGGTGGTGAAAACCATATCTCTGTCAAAGGGGTTTATTTTGTCCACTCGTTTTCCTCAGGTTGTAGTTTGGGGCGGAGGTTTGAAAATTGCCTGTCCTTGGTAGTTTGTGGGAGTGCTGGGGCACCTTGTCTTGGGGTCTTCTCTTCACACAGACCCCTGTTGTGGCTTCCATGGTCCCCTCAGTCCCTGCCTGGAAGGAGCACGCAGGCCCTCCACCTGCCCCAGTGGAGGGAGCACAGAGCCCAAGCAACCCCCTGGAGCTGTCCGCAGCATGGTCTCACGGTCTTGTGGTTTCTTCTCCAGGTAGAGAGCAATGAGGAAGGGAACTCAGCCTCCATGCCTCCTGCCAGCCCAGCTGCGCCCCGAATCACCTCCCTCATGAAAGGACGTCAGCCTCTGCTTGGACACCACGGAGACAGGGCCCTCCTCGTGCTTCAGAAGCATCGACATGTCGGAAAATCATCTTAACGCCAAGTCTGGAGAAAATGGCTTTGAGGTTGTGCACGCAAAGGAAGGAGGGAGAGTCCCAGGTGTCGCCGAGGGTGGTGCGGCTGACAGAGCCAGCAGGGCAGTGTCGTGTGAGCCGTGCTCTGGATATATAAGGATCTGAGGCTGCTGGCAATGTCTGGGCTCTACGCTCGCCCGTCTGTCTGCCACAATCATCTCTGGGTGGGATTAGCGGAGACTTCACTCCATATGATCCACTCTTTCATATTTAAATCTTCATGAGAAAGAATCACTTTTACAATAAAAGAAAAAGGCTGTCCATGTTGTCAATGTGCACACAGCAAGTTGGAAGGCCGGGGAGGGCAGCGGGTGGGGACGCTGACCCAGGTGCCGCCCTGCAGCCTGTAACAGCCCTGGGCCCGCTCCACTGCCCCCTCGGGGTTCCCTGTGGAAGAGGCCACAGAGTGGAGGGGCTGGTGGGTAGAGGGTGTGGAGCTGTAGGTGTGCAGTGCGGCTGCACCTGGCAGAGGTACTTCATTATCAAGCAAAGGCTGAGACAAGGTACTTGGAGCTCCTTCATTCGCAGCTGGTAACCCCCTGCAGGCACAAGGCTGGGCAGGACTGGGGTCTCCGGGAACCCATGACAGCCTTGGGCAACCTGGAGCCCCCTGCCGCCCCTCCCCAGGTGCTGCCCCTCGAAGCTTCGCCCCACGATTTAGTATTTTAGGGCTGGCACATCTCATTTGGACGAGAACAGCCATCACAGAAACAAATGCTCAGAGCGGACCGGTGTTTTTTCCCGGCCACCCTGGGATGAGCATGGCTCACATTGCACACCAGGAAGCCCAGGAGCGGGGAATTGAACCAGTTCCATCCAGTCCCTGGCAAGGGACCACCCTGTGTCCAAAGGCCACGTCCATTTTTCAGATTGCAGGAAATGGCTCAGCCTGAAGTTCAAGTTTTCCTCTGCACTCCTGTTGATTAATGTGGCAGAGAGAGCATGCTGTGGAATACGCTGGCAGAAATGTCAGGTGAGCTAAAGCGTTTCATTGCAAACACTCAGGCTGGCGGGGAGGTGCCTTGGCACAATTCTGCAGAGGGTATTTGGCAATAACAACAAAATCACAAAGGCACAAACACTGTGACCCAGAAACACCAATTTCGCGGTAGGAGCTGATGCTGCAGGGGTTCGCCCGGAGCACAAGGAAAGATGTGCTCGCTGTGCTCGCTGGGACAAGCAAGAGATTGGAAACAGCTCGGTGTCATCATTCAGGGTGTCGTCTGTATCTCCTGATTGCTTAAGGGGTTCGAGGCTGGGCCCCAGGGGAGGGGCTCCTGATCCGGCAAGGGCCCTGCCCCCTCCCCAGCACAGAGTTGGTGAAGGAAGTGGACATTCATTCGTTCAAGATGTTCTGAGTATTTCAGCACCACCAGGCCCTGTGAAATCAAGGTCTCCGCAGATGATGGTGGCAGTTTGAGTTCTGGCTGAACTGTCCTTTACAGCAGTCACTGGGGGTTGCGTTTTTCTCACACTGACTGGTCATGTGGCACACGGAAGCCGTCCACGTGCCGTGGGGAAGTGCTTTGTCTCCTGCCTGGGCGCCCACCCGAGCCAGTGAGTACAGCCCTGCCTAGTGACAAGGTGAGTGTCCTGTTCCCAAGTCATGAAGATGCTCTTCACTGGGGCGGGTCTGCTGAGTTGGGAAGGGCACTTACGGTTTAAACCGAGAGATGCTCCCTGCATTTGAAATAGAGAACATAGAGTTCTTTTTTTCTTTTCTTTTCTTTTCTTTTTTTTTTTTTTTTTTTTTTTTTTTTTTTTTTTTTTTTTTTTTTTTTTTTTTTTTTTTTTTTTTTTTGAGACGGAGCCTTGCTCTGTCTCCCAGGCTGGAGTGCAGTGATGCGGGTGATGGGGCAGACAGTCAGGGCGGTCAGGTGGGACCAGGTGGGCATTTCCCGAGGATGACCCTGGAGGTCAGCTGCCCGGTGTGGGCGGCCATGACCTTGGCAGCCTGTGACCTTGGTGGTCGTGACCTTGGGTGACGAAATTTTCTTTTTCTTTCTTTTTTTTTTTTTTTGACACAGAGTCTTGCTCAGTCGCCCTGGCTGGAGTGCAGTGGTGCGATCTCGGCTCACTGCAAGCTCCACCTCCTGGGTTCACACCATTCTCCTGCCTCAGCCTCCCGAGTAGCTGGGACTACAGACACCCGCCACCACGCCCAGCTAATTTTTTTTTTTTTTGTATTTTTAGTAGAAACAGGATTTCATCATGCTAGCCAGGATGGTCTCGATCTCCTGACCTTGTGATCCACCTGCCTCGGCCTCCCAAAGTGCTGGAATTACAGACGTGAGCCACCACGCCCAACCTGGTGAGGACATTTTCTTCTGCCAGTGCAATGCCCAGAGAGGCAGGCCGCTGAGGGCTGGGGCAGTGACCCCCGGGGACATCGCATTGGGAGTCCCTGGGTGTCACAGTGCAGTGTGTACTACGCCGTGGCTCCTGGATGGCCACCCATGGGCAGTGGAGCTGGGGCAGGGACGGCATTCCAGGTCTGCAAAGTAGGGAAAGTGATGGCCCAAAGGAGCGAGGGTCCAGGCGAGCCGCACACCGAGCAGCGAGGGTCTGGGCCAGCCGCACATGGGACAGAGGCTGCAGAGCACGTGCTGGGATGGCACACACCAGGTGCTCGGCCTGCTGTCCCTAGAAAGTGTGGGTCAGAAAGAACGGACGCGCCTGCGTGCTCCTTGCTGGAAGTGGCGAGCAGCTCTTCTCAGGCTGGATCTCTGGACACTCCCTGTGGTGCTCTTGCCTGGTGGTCCACCGCTGCACACGGTACATGGCAGGCTCCGTCCCCTTGGTGGCCACTCTGTCTCCTCGTAAGGCACGTCAGAGAAACAAAGCCCTGGACAGCTGTGACTGGGCTGGGCATTCCCCTCAGTCCCTCTAAGGGTGGGAAGTTTCCAAAACAATCTGTTATCCACACCAAGCTCTTTGACCAGAGTCCAGTAATGGGATGCTGGCGGTGTCCAGGTGCCCCGAGACAGGCAGGAGAGGCACCGTACTGGGTTCATCCAAGGCCAGCTTAGGTCCTGGGAGCCCAGGACTACCAGAGAGGAGAAAGGCAGGGCAGGGACACAGCACTGAGACGGAAGAGAGCACGCCCAGAGCAGAGACCCCCGAGAGGGCAGAGACCCCAGGAGGGCAGAGACTCTTGAGAGGTCAGAGACCTCTGAGGCCAGTGACCTCCAAGAGAGCAGAGACCTGTGAGAGGCCAGAGACCCCTGAGAGCAGGGACCCCTGAGAGGGCAGAGACCTCCTAGAGGGCAGATACCCGCTTCCTTGTTTTTCCTTGTTTGCCAACGTCAATGTCATTCTTGCCCTCCCTTCCCCGTCTGAGTGGGCGACCGTGGTGGCCTTAGTTACCCTCACGTGGCTTTAGGACCCTAAGAGCATAACTAAGCCCCCAAAGGCTCTGGTCTTCCAACAACACGATTCTTAGAGAGCAAGGCTCCTGCGGCTGCTGTGGGTAGGCAGGTGTGACTCGCTGTCCCTGGGAGGCGGGGCCCTGCTGGCACCTCTGCCGGTGAGAATCAGGGGTGGTCTTTCTCTGCGTGGCTGCATGGGGTGAGAGCCTCTGTCCCAGGGCAGATGTGGGGACAGGCCCTGGTGGAGTGTGCGGGCCTGCTGGAGCTGGGGTGCCCGGAACTGTGGTTTGTGCAGGCCCGAGGAGCCTCTGTCCTCGTGTGATCTTCATGCACTCATGACTTCGAGTCACATCTGGATTTGGGGAAGGACGCTGGTTTTAGTTCCAGCTCTGGCAGTCACATCTGTGGGATCATGGGCAGGTCATGTTCCCGTTCCCAGCCTCAGTTTCCCCATCTGTGCAACATGCATCCTCCTGTTGTGAGGATGTGTAGGTGCAGGAGATGTCCACCTCACCCGGCTCTGTCTGCAGGCATGAGGCTCTGTGAAGCGGGGCCCTCCCTGGGGGCTGTGTGGGGATGCAGATGAGGCCCTCCCTGGGGGCTCTGTGGGGATGCAGATGAGGCCCTCACCTGGCGGCTCTGTGGGGATGAGGCCCTCCCTGGGGGCTCTGTGGGGATGCAGATGAGGCCCTCACCTGAGGCCTCTGTGGGGCTATGCTGTCAGCTGGGTGAGGGGAGCCCTGGGCCATGGTAACAACAGGGCCAGGAACTTGCCCCTTTGCCCAGAACATTCCTCTCATCTGCCCCCTCCAGGCCTCGGCTTCCACACCTTTCCCTCCAGGGGACCTTCTTTTCCTTTCCTAGTTCCCCCGCCCCCCTCCATATTCACCTGTGCACATGCCGGTGAGCAGGTGTCCAGGCTGGAGTGCTGGCGTCTGGGTCCCGGTCCTTCCAGTCCCCACACCATGGCTGTCTCCTGATGTTTTTGGCTGACTCTCCCTGGAAGCAGAATGTGAGGCCAGGGTTGACGTGGAAGCCATTCATTTCTTTGGGAGGTGACTCAGGGAGACAGGGAGTAGGGAAGGGGGCACGCCGGGAAGGGCTGATGACTTAGTACCCCTGCTGAGCACCCTCCAGTGACTCCCCCGGAGCGGGAAGGAGGTTGAGTATTTATCCATCTCCTGCCTGTGGGGATAACAAACGAGGGATGCGACTGCCTGACACCCGGCCTGCCCCAACCCAGGCAGAGAGCCCTGGGCAGAGCCCCCTATTGCTGCCAGTGTCCTTTCCTGGCTATCATTCTCACTGCTGTACTTGCAGCGTGGTGGCCCAGCCACAGGACCCCCCCATCCCCAGGGTTCTGCCCCATCCTGACAGGGCTGGCCTAGAGCCTGGCATTGGGGACCTGAGATGAGACCTCAGTGCCGCGTGGTGCCTGGGGTGGGGGACCGACAAGAGTGGGTGGGAGGCAGGTGCTTTCTGAAGTGTGCCTGGCCTGGCCTTTGTCCAGCGAGCTCTAGACACAGCTGCTAACCCTCAGGGCCCCTACGCCTGCCCCTTTGCCTAACTGCAGACTGGCCCTCAGTGGCCATGGGTCTTGAACCAGGTCAGGTGGTGGGGGTTGAGCTGACAGGGCCTTGCTGCAGGCCCTGGGTAATTGGCTGGGGTCTGGCCCTGGCTGGGGCTGTCCCCAGTGGCTCTGCTAGTCGCCTGGTTAGTTGGCCTGGCAGGATGAGAAGTGGCAGGTCTCACAGACCCAAGGAACGTGCCGTTCCTAGTGAGATGGGAGGCCCTATGCAGGCTGAGTGTGCCCGAGTGTGAGCACTTGTGCGTGTGCACTCATGTTCACATGCCATACCTGTGTGTGCGTGCAAGCATGTGTATATGCACTTGCGCGTGTGTGGGTGTTGAGTGTAAATGTGTGCATGTGGGTGCATGTATGTGCACAAGTGTGCCGTGTGTACACACGAGTGTGCCTGTGTGTATGCATGTGCTGGCACCTGTGCATGGTGTGTGTGCCCATGGGTGCATGTATGTGCACAAGTGTGCCTGTGTGTATATACGAGTGTGCCTGTGTGTATGCATGTGCTAGCACATGTGCATGGTGTGTGTGCATGGGTGTGTGTGTGCATGGGTGTGTGTGTGCATGCTGTGTGCATGTGCGTGGGGTGCATGTGTGTACGTACATGTGTGCTGGGGAGGGCCTGCTCACCACGTGCTGCAGGCACCGTGCAGGTGCCAGCCCCTCCTTGTCTGCCTTGCTCTCGCTGCCCTGCCTTGGCTCCCAGCCTTCCCCTACCTGGTTCTCTCTCTGCTTGGCGTCATTCCTTTCATAAATTCAGCCTGGCCATGGTTTCCATGGTGCTCTGATAAAACTGGAATTCCAGTCATAATTGCAGGGAGTGAGGGAGCTGGGAGAGAGGGAAGAGGCGGTAGGAACCTTTTCTGTACAGAAAGCTCAGGTCTCAGTGGCTGTGGCTGGTTTTTCTTCCTTCAGAGGTATTTAGAGTGTATAGAGTTCTCTCCCAAGAGCTCCCCTGTTGCCTCGCGATGGCGACCGGCCAGCACTGTCCTCCTGGGTGGGTCTTACAGCTGATGGGCTTCTGTCTCTGTGCTGGAACAGCGTGGAGCTCAGCAGACCTGCTGGGTGGGGAGGGCTTGACCTGGGCTCTGGCTTCATGGGACTGGTGATCGAGGGTGCCTGGGGTGGCTGCCTGGCCAGTGTCCCCAGATCTCCTGCTCCATGACGGTGGAATTCCACGATTGTATTTCCATTCCTGTGATGTGCTCATCAATGTCAGTGTTCCTCGGGCTGGGGTGCAGTGATCTCCTACGCCTTGCAGTGAACAGGGGTTGTGAGAATTCCCTGCAGGGGCTGGGGCAGCAGAGCCCTACATCCTCCGTTCTGTGCCAGCCAGGGGGGTGACGAGTCAGCCAGGTCCCGAGGAGCACGGAGCGGATGAATGAATGAATGGATGGATGGATGGGTAGGTACAGGGAGGTGGCTCTCCCACCCCAGGGCACATCTGACTCTCCTGGAGAAGTTAACATGCAGATTTCCAGGCCACCCCAGCTTCTGATTGCCTGGGGCTCAGCTGGGGCCTGGGAAGCTGGTCTGGAACAGGCTTCCTGGTGGTTCTGACGTGAGCCCACCCATCTGCCTGCCCAGGAGACACAAGGCTCAGGGACAGCGGGAGCACTGCAGGCCTGTGGTTGGGAAAGGGGCTTTCTCTTTGTCCCCCAGAGGACAGCGTTTTGGCTGTCAACAAGGCCCTGCCTCTGCCCTAGAGGCTTGGGGCTGGGCGGGGGGGCTTGAGGGACCCTGTGCGTGAGACGGAGGCAGAGGCAGGGAGGTGGGAAGGGGGATGAGGCAGGGACACGCCCAGCACAGAAGGCACTTCTGTGGGGTGTCAGCTCTCCGGGAGGGGGTCCTCCTGTGGGGGTGTCCTCCTGTGGGGATGGGAGGGACATCCTCATCAGCTCACAAGCAGATAGTGGGTGAGTTTTTCCTTCCTTCCTTCCTTCCTTCTTTCCTTCCTTCCTTCCTTCCTTGGTTGATGAGACCATGGTCTTCAAGCTCAGGGAGGCTGTGGGATCCTGGCAGATTACCAGAGCCTTGGCTTCCTCGGCCAGTCAAATGGGAACAGTGACCTAAGGATACTCAGCCCCAGGGCGGCCGGAGGCTCCCTGCACACAGCTGGGTTCAGCCGGGGCTCCCGGGCGATGCCTGGCAGAATCTGCCCTTAAAGTCCTATCTCTCAATCCTCTTCCTCCTCCTCCAGCGATGCAGTCAGAGAGACAGCCCCCAGCTCCAGGGAGGAAGCTGCGAGAGGGAGGGGCAGGGAGAAGAGAGGAGAGGGAGGAGGGGCTCGGAGGGAGGCTCAGAGGGGAGGGAGGTTTAGACCAGGGAGAGGCTTGGAGGGGAGAGAGGCTCAAGAGTGGAGAGGACAGCAGGGACCTGGTTGCAGGCAGTGCTATACCCTGGGCCACCTCCAGAGTGACAGGAGGGGTGGCACCAGGCTCTGCGGTTGGTGGAGGGGGCTCAGACTAGACCAGGGCAGAGAAGGAGCCAGGCAGCCAGGCACGAGGCTCATGAATGACACCAGTTCCTTAACCTTAAACATTGCGGAGTGTCAAACCCTGGGGACGAATTGGGCCACCGTCCTCCTCTGAAGGCTTGGGGGTGTGGACAGGTTCAGGCAGGGAGCCTGTGGAGGGCAGCAGTCGAGGGTCCAGGTGCCACTCTGGGCCAGGAGGGACACTGGCCTGGCCACCAAGGCCCGAAGCCAAGGAAGGCAGCCTCCGCCTCCCTCCCAGCTCCCCTGGCGGGGCCAACCTTGGTCCTGTGGGCAGGGCCCTGAGTGCTAACTTTCACCTTATCCCACGTCCCAGCTCACAGTGGAGAGCTGGAGTTCGGCCCAGGACCCTGTGCGTCAGCCCCTGTGCCCTCACAGCTGTGCTGTGCTGCCTGGGGAATGGGGAAGAACTGGCATCCCCTCTTCACCCAGCGCTCGCCACTCAGCCTCTGGGTGCACAACGCAGGCCCCCCAGGGGCTCCACATGGTGAGTGCCCTCTCCCTGTGCCCACCTTGTGACCACACACAGCCGAGGGGAAGGGGGACCCCAAGGCAGCAGGCTCTCCTTGCCCCCATCCGGCCTCCTCCTGGCTCTGGGCTTTCCTTTGTCGGGGATTTAAGGCTTCCTGGAGAGAGCAGCTGTTGGGTGACAGGGTCTTCCCAGAGACCCTGCAGCCTCTTCTGATTCAGGGGCCCAGGAGTCCTCTCTCCAGCCACCCCTACCTCCGAGCTGGGCCGGTGCGGTGTGGAGAGGAAGGTGGGGGACCGAGCTGGGCAGGTGCGGTGTGGAGAGGAAGGTGGGGGACCTTGCCCCTAGGCTGGGTGGGGTGGTTCTGTGTTTTTGCTGTCCTTTGGGTGCAGGTGGGGGGATCTTTGTTACCAGGAGATGCTGTGGCCAGTAACACTTTAGCACAGACAAGGACAGGCTCAGCCTGGTGGGGATCTGGGGCAGCGCCCCTTGGGAGGGCAGGTGAAGGTGGGTGCTGGGAGGGAGGGGCCTGGCAGCATGTGCCAAGACCCCAGGAGATGATCAGGGTTATAGTTTATCTCCCCACCCTCACCCAGACCCCTCCCAGCCCTGCTGCCAGCCGACTGCCCCCAAAGGAAGGAGTCCTGAGCCCCCAGGCACAGGAAAACAACACTTAGAGAATCTCTAAGTGCTGCAGGGAGGGGCAGGCAGGGCCAGGGCTGCTGAAGATGGCCAAGAGGACCCCCTCAGAAAGGGGTGCTCCCTGCCACCAGGAGCCAGGAACCCTGGCAGTCTCCTGACCATGGGGGCCCCAAGGCTCCTCCCCTCTGCCTCCCGCCAGGGCCCTACTCAGCCCCTCCATGGGCGCTCAAATCCCTCAAGCTCCCGACCCACCTTCTCCCTCCCCTGCTGCTCCCCTAGCACCTGTCCTTCTCCTCTCCAGCCACTCTGAGCCCCACATGTCCCTGGGGAGACCCCTCACTCCTGCCCTCTCCCTTGCTCAGGCTCTGCCTCCCACTGGCCCACCTGCCTCCTCCTCCAGGCAGCCTTCCTGGACTGTTCAAGCCCAAGCAAATGCTGCTTCTGCTGAGCTCCACAGGGTGAGCCCAGCACGCCTAATCCTGAGGTCCAGGAGGCTTGTGAGAAAGACTCCAGGGCCCCACCCTGCAGACTCTGCTGTCACCAGCCTCTTGTGGTTCAGGCTCAGGCAAGCAGGAGAAAAGCTGTTGGTGCCCTAAAAGGGAGCACAGCAGAGAGCCAGAGCCGCCCATCCAGGGATGTAGAATGACCAGGGCCTTGGCGGGGGAGAATCGGAAACGGTGGGTCTGGGAGGTGCCTGGGAACCCTCATTTTTAGACCAGAAGTCCTGGGGTGAGGGTTCAGCTGCATCTTCTGTCTCCTCAGTGGCCTGCACGGGGTTGGGCCCAGGCCAGAAGCTCGGTACTGCACCCAGGCCTATCTGTCCACTGCTAAGGCCTTGACAGGGCCATGACCCCACCAACCACAGGACCCCTGGGTTGGCTAGAGGGGGCCATGGAGATCTGAGCTGAGCGGTCGTGGGACCCCGGGCTCCCCGCTTCACTGAGCCTCCTCTGTGTCCAGCGCACAGATCAGGAGACTGAAGCTCAGGAGACGGTGAGGACTTGCCCGCACAGCCCCTCAGTGGTCACTAGGCCCTGCAGGAGGTCTGCTGCTCCTTGAAGAATTACGGAGGGTGGGTGGGCTGTGAGCAGAGGGATCCTGGCGCCCCCACCCGCCAGCCTCTGGGGCCAAAGCCCTGTGGTGTTTGGTAAGAGGCCCAGTGCAGGCTGGCTGCTGCGTCCTTGTGTGTCTGAATGAATGAATGAGCGAATGAATGAGTGGGTGGCCACGTGCAGGCCCTCAACACTCAAGTCCACATCCAGGGCCCTTCGGACACCTTTATTGAGAGATACAGGGGTTTGTTTTCGTCAACTGCAGACGGTGGGAGTGGGGGTGGGCGTTTGAGCTACGGGGCTGCGTCATCACCGGGGGCGGCTCAGGGGCTCCAGACTCCATGACCGACGCACTCATGGCAGGCAGGGCCAGCTTCTGGGCACACCTCGTGACCTGGCCACAAGCTAATGATATCAGATCAGGTGTCGTGGGTGTGTCTGTGGTGCGTGGACATGTGTCCCTACCTACAGCAAGTGCACAGAGAGGAGCATAAAAACATCAATAGGAAAAACCGACTTCAGTCACAGTCACAGTCACAGACTCCGCCCTGGAGATCCTGCGTCTACCGAGGGTCTGGGGCAGTGCGGCATCCACGTTGCCCTTTCTCAGAGCACCATCCTGAGAGACACCATTCTGTCTGTTCCAGGGTGTGTCCTCCAGAACAGTCCCATCCAGGTGTGAGGGTGGAACGACCACAGCTGTTTCTCAGACGGGAAAACCGAGGCTCAGAAATTATGGCCCAAGGTCCAGGAGCCCCAGAGAAGGGTCTGAGGCTCCCCTGTCTGGCTCCGAGTCCAGGTCCGCGTTCAGAGCCCAGCCTGAGGGGCCTTAGCATTTGCTAAACTCTGAGCCCACTCCTAACACTCCTGAGCAGGGGTAGGGGCTGCACTGGCCTCTGGACCCCCCTGGCTGGCAGCAAAGCTCCTCTGTCCAGAGCAGACCATGTCATGGGAGCTCTGTGGGGGAGGAAGGTCCCTCTGTGCTCGCCCTGTTTCCCTGGGGTTGGTGGCCCTCGGTCGCTGGGAGGGCTGCCTGGCCGACAAGGCTTGTGGGAGGCAAGGTTTGATAGGAAGTGCAAAGAATGGGCCTGACTCCCCTGGGCCCTGTTCTTGGTGAGCCGAAGGGTCCTGTGGCTGGAGAGGGATTTTGTGGGGCTCAAGGAACCCATCAACTCAACAGCCAAATCCAAGTGACTGCAGATACTATAGCATTCAACTCTCATTTCACAGACAGGGAAACTGAGTCTGGAGAAGGCAAAGTGGCTGAACACAGCCCAAGATCAGGTGTCCGGGTCCCAGGTCCACATGGCCGGTGCAGGCAGCCTGCCCAGAGCCCACTTCCCCTGGGCAAAGGCTGCTCTGAGACATGGAAATCCTTTGAAGAAAAGGCTGACTTTTGCTTCCTGTGGCTCCCAGCTCCTGGCTGGTCCCGGCCAGCTTCTCCTGGGAATGTCTTCTCTTGGGCTCAGGCAACCTTCTTAAGCCAGGGGCCTGGCCAGTCCTGTCCTCTGTGGAGCCTGGATCCTAGAGACCAAGGAGGCGCCAGCTTTTTCAACTGCTTGGAGGCTGGGGCTAGGGCTGCCGCCGCCAGAGGGTGACAAATGAGTCTGTGCCTCAGCCCAGAGCTGCCGGCCAGCGATGCCTGGACGCATGGCTCCTTCTCACCTGAAGCCTGAGTTCCTGGGACCTGGTGTCTTACTCAGGGACCAGGCACCATCGCCCCTGTCCCACGTTCCCCTTTTCAAGGCCCCACCCTGAAGCCAGCTCTGGGCATGGCTGCCAGACGTCAGCCTGCACAGCCACAAGCAGAGCACAAGGAATGCGTACCCCATCCTGGCCATGGCCATGTGGGCAGGTGTGGGAGACCAGGCCCCTGATGCGGTGTCCCTTCTGCTGAGCCTGAGAGGCCACAGCTAAAGATCGTGAGGCTGAGGCCTGAGCCCCCTCCCACTTGGTGTCCCAGCAGAGCCCCTGGGCCTTGGCCTGGGTGAAGATGGGAGGGAGGAGGGGAGGCCAAGGTCTGGGCGATTCCAGGTCAACCCATTTTTGTCCTTTTTGGGGTCATGGTCCCTTCTGGGGGCTACGGCTGCCTGCGGCAAGGGTGGTGGGAGGGACCCCTGGCCCCAGCAGTGGCCCCAGCTTGCCAGGCCTGAAGGGGAGAGTCAGGGGGCTTTCTTGGAACTGCCTGAGGAGGGGGGCATGGGTCTGCCTGGCAGGGTCTGCAGGCAAGGCCAAAGGCACGGAGCCTGTGGGACTGGGGCTGGACTCCCCGAGCTAGACAGAGGGGGTGCAGGCCTCAGAGATGTGGACATGGGAACAGCAGCCCGGACATCAGAGGCCCAGCCCCACACAGCACCTTTCATTTCCTTCTCTGGAACCATCCATTAGTTCGGGAACAAAGAAAATGCCTTTGGCTGCACACTAATTTCTCCTTGTGAGAGGCCCTTTTCCTCTCTGGGAGAGGAGCACTCTCTTGTTCTGGCTTTCAAAGAGGAGATGGGGGAGGGGTGGGGAGGAGTTGGGGACAGGCCGGGGAGACGCGGATGAGAAACAGGG